ATAAAGAACCAACCATATCTTCATGCATTTAAATGCAACTGTTCCAATTCTGATACTCTAATTCGAGGAAATAATTTTTTAATTATTAAAAGGTATATGCGTGCAGAGGTTAATTGAAGTATTATACTTATTAATTTTTTACAGTTGAAACAGACCACCTACTATAAAAATTAAAATGGTTGCTAAAATCAATGCTGGAAATGTTCTCCCCTTCCCCGCTTTGCAACTAGAGAGCTGATTATTTAAAGTATACCTTGTCCAAAAAAGAGAAAAAGAGATGCTATCTGTATAAGTTTCCTAATTTTATTGAAACGGTATTTTTTAGGGGGTGGGGGATTTGGCAAGCTATTTTAATGTCCGCCTGAACTGAAGTTATTCCTCAATGTCAAGACTAAGGTCTTACTTTTAATATTAGAAATCTATAAATAATTTCTTAATAATGATAAATTAAAAGCAATTCAAATCTATACTTATTTTAATTTTCAAAATACCCGATTAAATATATTTTCACATTCTCTCCCTCTATCCCTGCAACACACACCTATATCACACTTCCTTAACATCTGTTTTTTTTGCTTTCTTTCCAAACGACTCGTGCTTAAGGAATATCTTCAGTTCCCAGAACTAGGTGGCAGCAATGAATGTGTGAGAAATTATCAGAGGCAACAAGAGGTGTAACAAAATGCAAAACATTACAGGCAGCAAATGTTTTTGATTCCTTTAGTTCATTTCTACTGAGTTTAAAATTTCATTCAAAAATGTGTTTTTTCAGATTATTTTTAACCAATAATTTATGCTTCTACAAAGTTAAATTTTCCATTTTACTTTTTCATCAAACTAGCAGAATTTTTGAAATCTTCCCCTACCTGGCTTATTTTGAAAGGCATTTCACTTGAGTATGTTTTATCGAACTGCTCTTTCCATCTTCCTTTGAAGTAGATGGCATTGACAAGAACCAGCTTGGTCTGTGCATCAATGGAGTTACCTGGCAACAAGTCTTGAATTTTACCTTTCGAGAAAAGTAAAAAATATATTCAGTTGATTTTTAAAAAGCGTGATGAATAAACTATGAGATTTATTGGCAGGTCCCTGATTATTAATCAAGAACCAAACATGCTTTTTTCAAATTTGCTGAATTTGGATTGCTACATACAGAAATCAAAAACAACACATACGAGTGGCATTAATGATCACCAGTGCTTCGGGAACATCTACAAAGTTGATGACGGTGAAAGATTTCTAAATCACTCAAGGAAAAACACTACACCGGGTTGGAGAACAAGGCAAGGAAATGAGAGATGGGTTGGAGGGACATCGGTTATCTCACACGGTTCAATGGAGGGTTTCATCTAAAGCTCCAAAGTTATGCGTAGTGCTAACATTCCACAACCACATGTGGACGCATCAGAGGCAGCCAGAATGAATGTCTCAAAGGGGAAACAGCTGGCAATGGGCAGTGTGAGTGTATTGAGGAGCTTCTGGAAGCCTCTATTTGACCCATTAATGGGTTTGCAGTTGGCCTATCATGCCTAGGTTTATCAAGTCTAAGGAAATGTAAATGGAAGATATAAAAGAAGCAGTAGAATAAGTAAGCTTAACGAGTAAAGTCAAGGCAGTAGTGATGGAGGGCTACACAGAATCTGGAAAGAGATGATGGCTCCACCCAGCACGTGAACATTATAGGCGAAGTGTAAATATGTTTTAGTTATTAAACTAAAAGTTTGGCCTGCGAGTTTCTTTTGGCATTTGTGTCAGTCGCTTTGGTCCTGGGAGAATGGATAAAATTAAGTCTCTCTTGTTGAAAACCTGAGCATCTGATTGGAACCTCTGTGAGTAGATTAAGGTTCAAATATCCCATGAGATTCAGCCTGTCAGCATTACTCTGACCACCTGAAACACCAGTGAAATCAGAGAAGCAGGCAGAGGAGGGAAAAAAGAAGGGAGAGAAGAAGGAAGGAGAGGAGGAGGAGGAAGAGTAGAAAGGGGAGGGGAGATGGAAGGCGGGTATAACATGTAATTCTTACCTTTAGTCTTTTTTGAAACCCAAGTGTTTATATGTTTCCTGGACTGCTCTGCAGCTTTGGCAAAGGAAAGCTGCTCCAGCTCAGCATGATAGAACCGAAGACAGGATTCCTTAAAGGTCTTTGGAGAGAAAAGTGTTCAATGAGGCTACATTTCTAACTAAAATATCAAGTGTCCAAAAATTCTGAATATTACATACCTTTTATTAAAAAGAATGTACATCTCTTAAAAGTGACCATATCTCAGTTGGCTATATGTTAAAATATCAGTGTTTATAAAGAGGTACATACTAAGCCATGAATAACCAGAAATGGATAAATGAATTTTAGAAGTAGTCAAATTTTAAATAATTCAAGGTATAGATATAGAATTATGATTTTTTAAAACAATGTTTACCGTAAGTTTCAGTTCTCTAGGGTCTTTCTCTAGGACTCTATGTTTTTATTACAACTTTACTGTTCTCTTGATTTAACTTACTGAGAGGAATTCACAAGTCTTTTCCCCAAAGAGCCTGTTGGCCGTTCTGAGCAAGTACTGCGTGCCAGGTTTGTTCATTTCAGCAAGAAGTGACTGGAAACTCCCATGAATGTCCTTCTCTGTGTTCAAAGAGAGCGCCTGTTGAGAAAAATAATTTAAAATTATCTATTGTTCTTTGGTCTCAAAAAATTTATAAGCAAATTATTTCTTACATACTCAACAAAATTTTCCTTTAAAAGGATGTTGCTGTTATTTTAATTGTGTATTCAATATACTAGAGAAGCAACACTATGTGGGGGTGGATAGAAGATAAAGAGGGAAAAAGAGAGGAACAGAGGGAGGTAGGAAGAGAAGGAGAAAGAGAGAACACAGAATAAAGGGGAGTAAGAGTTGGCTTTCTGTCTAAATTGCTTTTGTTTAAAGATAAGGAACAGGGAAAAATGAAAAGGGAAAGACAGCTTCAGAAAAGAGGTTGTTTTAAAATCTCTCATCCCAAGAAAAACATGAGGAAAACTTGTCTCTAAAATTTACCCCAACAATGCCGTCAAAAGCATTAAAAATTCAAAGAAATGAGCAGAAATACAGTTATAGTGGGAAATATCATAATAGTGGGAGAGACAACACTTTCGGTCTCTGACAGCTTTAACAGAATCCAAAGGCTAGTTCTGGAGTGCCCATTATTGTCTAGTTGGACGCTGGAGGATAAGGAACTCTCAATGTCACATTTCATAAAGTAACCAGACAATTTGGGGGCTCTCAAAAATCACTCCTATAAGGGCTCATTGGCTGGCTAGCCCAAAACATAGAAAACTTAATTAAGTATAAAGAATCCTCTACTCAGCCATAAAAGGAGAATGAAATCTTACCACTTGTGACAACAAGGATGGACCTGGAAGGTACTGTGCTGGGTTAGGTCAAATGGAGAAGGACAAATGCCATGTGATTTCACTTATATGTGGAATCTAAAGAACAAGGTGAATGGACAGGAAGGGCAGAAACAGACTCATAGATGCAGAGAGAGTTTTGATGGTTGCTGGATGGGGGGGTGGTTGGAGGGTGGCTGAAAGGAGGGAAGGGATTAAGAAGTACAAATTGGTCGTTACAGAATAGTCATGGGGATATAAAATATAGCATGAGGAATATAGTTAATAATAGCGTAATAAGTATGTATGGTGTCAGATAGGTACTAGATTTATCAGAGGGATTACTTCATAAGTTATATAAGTGTCTAATCACTATGTTGTACATCTGAAACTGATATGTTGTATGCCCACTATAATTGAAAAATAAAAAAAGTTTAGAAATCAATTATCACCAAAAAATAAATGAAATAAAATTCAAATTTTAAAAAAGAATCCTCACACATACATAAACCTACACTCCGGCATACCATGAGCTGGAAAGTGATTAATCACTACTAAAAAGGATTCATAGGAAAACAAAGCTCATATTGAAAGAGCCACACTGTCTAACTTTTCTATAGTAGAGATACATGTTCAAGGCCATGAGCTCGGCTATGATACAAGCTTTTAGTTTTCATCTCAGGCATGTATCTCCTGCCCACTCTATAAAACTCCTGGGAACAGGAATGGATTCTCAATCATTTTCTGATGTTTACCAAACGTTTGTTAAACTCATCTAACTAGCACATATGCAGTCTATATAAGTAATAAATACATGCACTTTCACCTTCTTTTGCATATTTCTGTTTATGCTCATACTGAGCTAGGAAGCCATGTTGGTATATCAATGATTTGAAATAGATGTTAACCTTACCCTTCCTTGCCAATGAACAATTACAGTTACACAGTCTTTTATTCCAAGAATGAACTAGATCTTAGCTGCTTCGATGTCAAATAATTTCAGTATCATTTTCTAAACAAAGATAAAGTGTTAGAATAAAGTTTCGATAGTTCGATCCAGGTTACTAATTGGAGAAACTTTTCCCAAAAAATCTCAGGAAAGGAGACTTGCTTCTTCATGAGGTATGAAGCTGGGTGATAGAACAGAACAACTGAAAAGGCAGTCCCTTCTCTCAGGCAGGTTTACCTGGGCCATTTGGGCAGCAGTGTTTCCTTTTGCCCCCAGGAAGACCATGGCCAGGGCAGAGGAGATGCTCACAGGAGAATAAAACACGTTGCGAGAAGGATTGTCTTGACATAGTATCTTTAAAAGGCGGAGGGCAAAAGTGCCATTTGCTTCAGAGAGAGCATCCATGATGCAGTATCTGGAACCGCAGAATAAAGAGAAAGATTGCTTCGACAATACACCCGTGAATGTTATTGACCTAATTAATACATGGCAATTTTGAAATTGTACTTATTTTTTTTTTTTTTCCTTAAAGCTCATAAATATTTTAAGTTCGGGGAAATTCCATTTACTGCTGTTCTCTATCCAAAAAATAAGTCTAAATTTTAAGGCAATTAGCTAAGTGCGGTAGTGGCAGCAGATCAAACGGATAAGCTCAAAGCTCACTTTATTTAAATAGTTTATCTTCCACTTAGTCCCCTCCTCCTGTTCCAGCTTCCATCTCTAGCCATCTGGAACTCTTTCCAGTCCTGCAGTCACCCCTGAGCCTTTGAAAACACTTTAGCCAAGGTTAAAGTGTTTCACCAGGTTAAGGGCTCAAACACCACATCTGATTCCTCTCCTAGAGGAGGTTTCTTCCTCTCTCTCCCCAGCACAACTCCCCAGTCTTCATTGTGTCCCACTAGATGGACGCTCTGAAAGCAAGGGCTGTCTGGCAGCCGCTGAGCGCTCAGAAAAAAAGGAAGGGCTTGATAAATTTGTATTGCCTTGACGAAAGAATTAGGATGCATAAGAAATGCTTGAATTTGCAACTGGAGACTGGTGATTTTAGCAGGACAGAGTCGAGGTAAGGCAGATGTCATTATTTGGATCCGGGAGAGAGAAGAGTTGAGAAATAGGGCGAGCAGGTGGGGATGGGGCTATAGGGTGAGGGCCCGGCAAGGGGAAAGAGGCGATAAGGCAGGGAAAAAAGGCATCGGAGAGCAAAGAGAAAACCCTCTGAGGACGCATCTGAGGCTTATTCGAGAACGAGAACCTCGAGGCACAGGCCCTGGGACCAGTCACAGCGAAAGCACCGCTGCGCAACGGACCAGCGGCGACAGATCCAAAGAGTCTGGATTTCTGTAAACAAGAAGGCGCTGCCCTCTCGCGTTTGCTTTGTACCGAGATAGGCCTCGCGTCCTCGCGCCAGGTTCTCTAAGGTCGTCTAGGGGTTCTTCTTGTCCCCCCAACTCCCTTCCTGCCCCGCCATGCCCCCACCTGCCACCTTCAACACTGCAGCGCTGTTCTTCTCCTGTCGCTGCCCTCGGAGCCTGGAACCCCACGACCCGAAGCGCACGCAGACTTGGCACGCTACAGCCGCACGCCGTGGGTCCCCTCAGGCCTCGGCCGCCCACGGACCTTAAGTCTGCGCTCGCTTGCCTGAGGCGCGGGGGGTGAGGGGAATTCCACACATCCTGCCCTCGGCGCAGGGGCGGGGCAGGGCGCGGCAGGGCGGTGCGCGGTCAGGGCTAGCGAACACTGTCTACTCCCCTCAGGGCCCGAGTCTGGATAATCCCTGCAGGCCCCGTATCACCTCACCTACGGGACCCCTGCCGGGGACACGGAGACAGCGGGTGGGCTGCAGCCTCGCACTTCCTGTGGGTTCCAGAAGCTACTTTAAAGCGGGATTCTGAAAGGGAAAGCACTTTCAAACTGATAGCCCTTCCGGGCCAGCTCTGCTGGCTGCCAAATGAAGAGATCACAGGTAGGGGATTGGGAGAAGGGACGAGAGAACTTGGAAGCTTGGGCTTTTCTACTTACAGGAAACAGACAAAAATGGAATGACAGCCTCCTTTATCGTAGGAAGGGTCTGTGGATCTTTATTTTACATCTCTTTTCTTATATAGATGAGAGAGTCAGCTAGAATGAAGTATTCCTTTGAGATCCCACAACTAATTAGCAGTCCTGAATCCAGACACAGAAGCCAGGGGTGCAGTGAAGAAGGAAACTTCATTCAGTGCAAACAACTCAGTTGTGGTACAGCACGGCTGTGTAACAGCTCAGTGGTGTTATAACTGAATTATGAAGCAGCATGGCTGTGGAACTGCAAAGCTATGATGAGGCCCCTCTGTGGCTAGAATGCTCTGCTCTGCTCCGCTCTGCTCTACACTGGTCTACTCTACTTGCTCCCGTCTTCTTCACTTTCCTCTGCCCTGTGCTGGTTTGGAGCCTTCTTTGGTGTTTCAGCACCAGCTCCAGCTGGGGAAACCATCTCCAACAAGCAATAGAAAGAGAAAGTGTGCTCCCTAAGCAAGGGAGGAGCAGGCTTATATGGAGAGAAGTCTTTGCCCCTGGTCCCTGATTGGTCCATCTTCATGCAAACAAGGACTCCAAATCCTTGCAGTCTGATTGGTCCAAAAGGCACTGTCCTGATTGGTCAGAATGGAGCTGCTTGGGTTGGTCAAAGAAGATGTTAATGGAGCTATAGCTGCACAATTCCAATTAAATGGGAAAAGTCTCAGTCCTTTTGGTTGACATACAGTTCCAGGAATTCTCATAAGGGCTGGCTCAGTTGGCATGAACACAGTATAGGTAGGCAGTTCAGTGCAGGCTTCTCCCTGAAGTGCACTTTGTATGAGAAGCCCCTGTGTAGAAACAGCTGCTAGGCTTTAGGGGTTTTTTTGTTGTTTTTGTTTTTTAATTTGAGCTCAGTTAGCTACCAGGAATCCTTCTTAGTAGCTATCTTCTTTCTCAGGGTCCCCAGATATATGTTTATTCATTTTGTTTATTCATTCATCAATTGATAGACATTTGGGTTCTCTTGTTTGTCTATTATGAATGATGCTGCTATAAAAATTCATGGACAAGTTCTTGTGTAGACATTATATTTTCATTTCTCTTGGGTACATACCTAGTAGTGGAACTGCTGGATCATATAGTATCTCTATATTTAACTTTTCGAGAACTGTCAAACTATTTTTGCAAAGTTGCCGTGCAATCTTACATTCCTACCAGCAATGTATGTGGTTATCAATTTCTCGACATCTGTTGTCTATCATTTTAAATAAATTTTAGCCGTTCTAGTGGGTGTGAAGTGGTATTGCATTTTGGTTTTGAGTTGTATTTCCTTCATGACTAATGATGTTGAGCATCTTTTGATGTACTTATTGGCTCTTTGTGCAGCTTCTTCAGAGAAATGTCAATTCAAATGGTTTACCCATTTTCAAATTGTGTTACTTGTCTTTTTGTTGTTGAGTTGTAACACTATGACTCCTGATTTACTTCACCATCATAATCAAATCACTCAAAACCAATGATAAAGAGAAAAATCTTAAAAGCAATCAAAGAAATGTTAGGTAAAGAAAAATCAAGATAAAGATGATATTAGATTTCTCTTTGGCAACAATGTGAGCAAGAGCACAGTGGGAAAACATCTCTAAAATATTGCAAGAAAAAGAGAAACCATCAACCTAGAATTCTGTACCCTTCAAAAATATTTTTGAAAAATAAAGGTGAAATAAACACTTTTCAGACAAGCAAAAACTGAAAGTTTTCATTGCCAGCAAACCAGCACTTCGAGAAATATTAAAGAAGAACTTCCAGCAGCAGCCATCAGAAAGATTCTGCTTCATTATATCCGGTTCTTTATGGATTCTGTTGAGAAGGCAACCATCATTTATGTTGTCATTCTGAGGGAACAATGAACGATGCTGCCCCATTTCTCTAAGGATTCTTTTGAGAATATAGCCATCATTTAAATCCTCGTTCTTGATGCTGCTCCATATTCTCCAGTCTCTGTGGACTCTGTTGAGAGGAGACATAATTTTAATCATTATTCTTAGCATTGGAAAGATTCTTCATTTTCTCTGATTCTCCAAGGATTCTGTTGGGAACCCAGCTATCTTATAAATAATTTTTTTCTAGAATGGCATTTGAAAGGTGCTGCCCCATTTTCTCTGGGTCTCTATGGATAAATACATGCTCTTGAGAAAGCAAGCATTTCTATCATCGTTCCAGGTAAAACTATTTATATAAATACAAAAGTGTCAAGTATTGCTGGAGTGATGTCAGAAGCATGGCGGAGCGAGAGATGTCCCCAGATCGCTCCCCTTGAAAGCACAATAAGCTGAACATCTAAACCTCAGCAAATAACACCCAACCTGCACACAGCATGTCTGAGTGAGTTATCTGCACATAAGAGGTCAGAACCGTAGTAGTCTGGAGGGAGAGGATGTGTAGATTGGGAGGAACAAAGAAGCTACCTCTTGCACCCAGAACTCCCTACAGGAGGAGCAGTTGCAGCCAGTTCCTGAACAGTCCTGCCAGAGAAATCTATGAGCTCCACGCAGCAGAGCCCAGGGAGCAGAGCAGAAAGCAGAGCAGAAACTAACTGCAGAGCAGTGACAGCTGGTTCTTAGCAGCCACTGTTGCGAAGCACTAGGCTGAGACACAGAGATAGTAGCAACTCCCACCCACCAACCCAAGTAAATATGCCCTCGATAAAAACAAAAAAAAAAAAAAAAAAAAAAAAAAAGGCATTATTAGTTCCCAAACAGAGATCCAAGAGCCTTAGATGCCACCTACTGGAAATAAAAAAAAAAACAAAAAACAAAAAACAAACAAACAACAAAAAAAATGCCTTCTTAGCAACAGGCTTAAGCGCGACCTCTATATAATAAATCTTTCTGGGGGGGAGGGGGGGGACACAGAATACACTCTCGATAATACCCAAGTGAAGAAATAGACCATCAAACAACATGAAACAAGGGTAAAAACAAAAAACAAAAAACAAACAAACAACAACAAAAATGCCTTCTTAGCAACAGGCTTAAGCGCGACCTCTATATAATAAATCTTTCTGGGGGGGAGGGGGGGGGAAGCAGAATACACTCTCAATAATACCCAAGTGAAGAAATAGACCATCAAACACCATGAACAACCAGGGTAACAAGGCTGCTCAGAAAGAAAGAGAAAAATTTCCAGAAAATAAGCTTAAAGACATAGAAATATGTGATTTAAATGACAGAGAATTTAGGATTATACTTCTGAAAAGAAACCTCAATGAGATGCAAAATAACTCCGATCGACAATTCCTGAGGAAAAAATAGACCAGTGGAATGAGTTTTTAGCAAGATCGAAACCCTTAAAAAGAACCAAATAGAACTTCTGGAGAAGAATCCACTAAAAGAGATGAAGAGTGAAATAGCGAGCTTTGGAAATAGACTTGACCAAACGGAGAAAAGAATCAGTGATATCAAAGACAGAGATCTAGAAATAATTCAGAGGGAAGAAGAAAGAGACCAAAGAATGGAAAATAATGAAAGAGAAATACAAGAACTAGCTAACACCATCAGGAAAGACAACATGAGAATAATAAGTATTCCAAAAGAGAAGAAAAGGAGAAGAGATCAGACATCATATTCAAACAAATTGTGGATGAGAATTTCCAAAATCTAAAGAATGAACTGGAGCTTCGAATCCAAGAAGCTAACAGAACACCCAATTATCTCAACCCCAAAAGTCTTCTCAAAGACATATTATATTAAAATGATCAAAAATTAATGACAAAGAATGCTCAAGGTAGCCAGCGAAAATAAGATGGTAATCTACAAAGGAAAACCCATTAGGCTATCTTCAAATTTCTCAGTGCAAACTTTACAAGCAAGAAAGGAGTGGAACCAAATATTCAAACTACTAAATAAAAAGAATTACCAGCCAAGAATAATGTATCCAGCAAAGTTCTCCTTTAGATATGAAGGAGAAATAAAGACCTTTCTAGACATACAAAAGTTGAGAGCATTCTCTGCCACAAGGCCTGCATTATAGGATATAAGGAAAAGGATCAGCTCACATGAAAAAAAAAAAAAAATGACAAAAAAATACATAACTATCAGTGAGGTGACAAGCAAGCAGACAGAAGCAGAATAGTGCACCTTTTATCAAGAACAGAGTATTATAAGCCTAAACAATGAGAATAGCATTGCTATTGCAAGATAAAAATGAATGCTCAACATGCATAGGGACAATTTGAGACAATAATAACAGAAAAGGAGAGGAATCAAAGATCCAAATTTGCAAAGGGGAGAGGAGATAAGGTATATGTAGAAGAAAATGGATGACTGTATATACATAACTATCCTTTACATATTCATAATAGTAACCACACACCAAAGATCCAGAACTGAAGCACATAACATAAAACAAGAAAGACCAGAGGGAAAGATCCGTAAAATCCAACCAAATTAAAATAACAGACAGAAACTTAAGGACAAGGAAACACCGAGCTACTAGAAAGCAAAAAATAAAATGGCTATGGGAAAACTTCATATTTCAATAATCGCTCTAAGTGTAAATGGACTAAACTCACCAATAAAAAGGCACGGAGTTTCAGATTGGATCAAAAAACAAAACCCAACCACAAGCTGACTCCAGGAGACACATCTCAGTTCCAAAGACAAATATAGACTCAAAGTGAGAGGGTGGAAGACG